AAATGCCCCGCGCCATCTAGTGTCGAAAACTCGACAGCGCGTACAAACGTTTACGTCCGTTGTGATGCCTAACCGCTCCGTCGATAAGGCGCCGGTTAACGGTTCCCGTGGCGTAATTAATATTATCTGATCGGGTACTTTAAAAAAAAGAAATGCAAAATAACATTTAACTAAAGAAAATGTTATCATATAGCCTGATGTTTTCTATACAATACAGATACACTGAACCTACACATACAACACATACAACTTTGGGTGTAAATTCGTACACCTATCCTATAGGAATAGGTATAGGATATGCACTTTGAATTTTTCGATGTGACAAATGATAAATTTAGAACCGTGAAGCGTTAGTTTTAATTTGGCAACGAATTATTTCGAAAATAGTTATTCAAATTTAAATAAATTGAAATTGTCCAATTATAAAACAATATAGATGTGGTATCAAAAAATCATTATGTCAAAACGTTACAAGCCCTTCTTAATTTTTTAACGTTGAAAATTTAGTTTCTTAACTAGATCTACATATAGCCAGAGTAGTTTTGCTCGCGTAAAACAGTCTTTACATTATCAAATTGCGTATCGTAGCACTCCTTCTCAATACTGGCTGTAAGACTGCGGATAAATTGTTAAGTAAGATTTAACGATCTAACAAGAAATTGCCTAAACACGACTCCTATGAAACGGTCGATATCCAATCCCCTTAAATCTTAGCTAATGCAACGGACAAACCCAGACTTTTGTCGATGCATAGATAACATATTAACGCATAAGGTACCTAATATAAACTATACGTCTAATATTTACTCAAATGATTTATTCCAATCGTGTTCCTCAACATTGTATTTTTTATTAATATTATGTTTCAGCATACGGAGAATTAGGCATCTAAATAATTGTAACTTTTGTCTTCACGATTTTATATAATCAAAAAAATGCATTACTATACCTCCTTTGAAACCTGTAGCAAACGTATAGATGGTTTTCGAGTTTTAATTTTGCATTTACTTTGTTTTGTAACTCTTTAGTGATTCTCAAATATCTGTGAAGTATTTAGACGTGTATAAATTGAACGAACAAAATGATACCTAGGTGTTGAGTGATAAAAACTAAAATATTTATTTAATATATTTTCGTTCCTTCTATTGGTTTTACTAAGAATTTGTAAGTTCTATTTTTTTCAATGTATTATTTTTTCTCTCTGTGAAAATATCTTGTAGCATTTTGAATTTTACTTTGAATTAGAGTTACCATTTTTTTTTTTTTTTTTTTTAAATGGGAAAAAATGGAAAAACGGAAAAATACTTAGCAACAACTAAGGTAAAATTTGTTTTGCATTTTATAAGTATCTTATTGATACAACCAATATTAGGTATTTTTAGGTTTTTATTTTTAGATGATTGTATTTGGATTTGGGGGGGGGCTGAGTAATCTCAAAACGAATGAGTAGAGAAATTAGCCCCTTCAAATATACTAAGTGTAAAGTGTTGTTCACTAGTCACTTTACTATAAATAATACATTTATAGTTTATATTATATTATAATAGTATAATCATTTTCAATTAAAATATTGTTGAAGCACTAATAAAAAAAATTATAATTTACAAATAAAATCAATCAACGAATAGATATATTAAAACAAACAAATCAAACAGTATATTACATTGTTTGACAATAAATAATTTAAACTTTTTGTTACTTTATTTTGAATATGTATATTAAACAACTCGATGGATTTTTTTAAATCAGTAATATATTTAATGTACCAAGGTTGTTACTGTAAAGAAATATTTGATATTTGGTTTCCTTCATAATTCGTATAACATATAATTTGTCAGAAACACATGTTTCGGCATTTTCGCCGGTAAAGTATTTTCATAAATGCTATTAAAATATTGTCACTAACTGTAGGCGTAGCCAAACCTTTTTTTCAGGGTGTATGGAAGAAGCCTGTGTACTACGTTAAAATTTGGTCCACACACCTCTTTGGTAATAAACAATAATACAAAAAAACAATACAACTGATTATCTGAGCTTAAAGATATTTACATACCTAATAAATTAAATTGCACTGATTTACATTAGATAATTAAATTAACTCACCCAAAATTAATCGTAACTCACTTAATTCAACTCAGTTTCTCTTATATTTTAACACGCTAGACCTACTCAGACCTGAAAATTAATATGATACACAATTCTAAATGAACAATAAATTAATGATACAAATCACATTTTAAGAATTTCTTTCTTTTAGAAACGTTTATCCTGTATAATGAAATTTAAACATGTTTTATTATGTACCTGTTATTTATTAAAAATTCAAATGTAATTAAAAATTCATATTTTCAAAAATAATAATTAAATGGATATAAAAAAAAAAACTGTCAATTAAATATACGCATTGTTACGTATAAAATAAAAATATAACAACACACTATAAATTACAAAACGTTAACATGTAAAAACATCCGTAATCTTTATCAATCAATTAACAAGTTTACATAAATTCAAGCTATTTTACGAATATATTTTCCCGCGGTCGACAGATGGCTATAGATAGCTATATCATTATTAACTTTACTAAATGACACATCATAGCATCATCAATTATCATGTCAACATTGTCAACGGTGAACGGGAAAAAACAATTTCAAAGTGCATAATTTACACAATAAAACATTAGATATTTTACGTAACTATAATTTGTACGTATAGGTCATTAGCGGCGCGTATGTAAATTTTATAAAATAAAACGTAGAAAAAATAGGTTTGCCAAATTGCACCCAGTCACCTTCCTGAATGGGCTGAACGGCATTTCTGCGTTCAGGGCATGCAGTGCATTGGGCTACAATGTAAAATCCTACATCGTCCCTATTTACCTGTCAAAAATAGATGGTGTAATCTCCTGCACAGACCTTTTTTTACATTTTTACCTACCAAAAATAGCGGCGGTCGTCACACCCGCACACTTTTAATAAAAGGTCGTTGTTCAAAATCGCACACTTTTAGATATAGTTTTCAGAAAATGATACCGTTCAATACCGCACACATTTTACTTTGTGTCCTATCAGACGTAGTTTTGCACAACAAATCGAGCGTTATTTTTGATTAAAATAAAATTGTTCGAGTGAGCGCAGAAAGCGAGTGATCACATTGGGTCTCTATAATTTCACCTATAATGCTTTTCACTGCTAATCAAATGTGTGCGGTATTTATTTATCAACCTTCCAAATTTTCATTTTTAACGATAGACAAAAGCGGTTAGAAACAATGTAAAATGTGCGGTCATGGACGATAAGTGTGCGATTTTGAACGACGCCCAAAAATATATGGTGTAATCTCCTACGCACACCTTTTTACATTTAGATTCTGAGTGTAGTGAGGAATGTATATTGGTTTTACAGTGACGTTTATTTGTGATAATTGCACTTAAGTGGGGGAAAAACGTACGATTTTACGATTTCATTATTTTAAATAAACCCGCACGTTTTGTACCGGAAATAGTTCTCTAATGGAAAAACGACAAGACATTTTTCGTTGCATTTTGGATAAATATTTGTAGAATCTGCAGAGACTACGAATGTAGTAAACATATTAGTATAAGGCATCGTATCGGAAATTTTCGAACATTTCGATAACGTCTACGTTATATCCGTAAATTGGAAATATAACGATACTGAACTCTTATTTTTGTAGTTTATGACTGATTTTTATTTATTTTAAAATACCTTATTTTACTTTTTACAACTTTACAACTATCTATAGTGTAGGAGTTAGCACTATCTTTTGTAGGAGTAAACAATATCTTTTTTAGGAGTTATTACTGTGTCAATGTAGGATATTACCTACTTTCGTAGGACTTTACCATCCCCGTGATATGACATACCCTGCTACACCTGGCTAGTGGCTACGCCTATGTCAAAAATTGTATCGGTACGTCCAGACCAGTCTTCTACAATTTTGATATTTTTATGAAATCGTATTGTTTTGTGTTCAATCGTCAGTCAAAAGTTCCGACGTAAACCAGTTTGTTTTAAATTATTAATTCAAATTAAAATTATATTTCCTATATATTATTATATTTAGATATACCTACGTATTTGCTATATTTTACTTACAAACACGCCATAGACTAAAGATAAAGTTAATTTAGTTACATTGTTGGAACAAGCAGTTAGATTATAAAAATAAGTATTAAAAAAAGACAGACATACTTCGCACGTGGGTGGGCCATTGTTGTAGATGATAAGTTGGAAAGGTAGAAGGGAAATTTAATGTACATCTGTACGTAACGATTAATCATTGCTAACGTTGTAAAAGCGGAGTTTGGTTAATAGTGTTGTTTAGTCAACAATATATACGTCATTTTATGGTAAAATAATTACATATGCATTATATATTTTCTTTAATAATATTTGTTTAATATTGTACCTATTTTTCCGTTTTTCCTACGTATTTTTCTGAGTCTTTACTATTTGTTGAGAAAATTCCTGGAAAAATCAAAAAATGACCTCCTTAAACTACTATCCCCGTACGATTTTCTTTGGGAAAAAGTGCTATCATTGTAAATCGGAACAAAATGACCGGAACAAAAGTTGTTCACAGATAAAAAAATATAAACATCATTGTAAAACCAATAAATTCCTTGCTCTGCTCATAATCTAAAAATGATTCATGGTGTGAAATTTTAAAACTGATGGGTGTTGATGAAGCAGAAATTGAAAATAAAAACAAATAAAAAATGTTCGGTATTGGTCAATAAAAATGTGCTTTGTTTTAAACTTTTAGAAGTATATATCAAACTATGAAAGGAATCATCGGTGGTTAAGTATCTTAGAGTTATTGCCAAACTTTCGTTTACCGGTACAGAGTTAGTCAAGTACTCAACTTTGTCGGGTTTTCTTGAATACTAAAATCAACAAACATATTTTGTTTTGGTACTCGTAAACTCGACTAGTTTATTGACAAACTTTTGTGGTAAACTGACTTTGTATCATTTTCTTTTCTCGTGAACTTCACCTATCACTGGAGCCGGACAAGTAAAAAATGCAGGAATTCATTAAGTTGTAAAGGCATATTTTTTATGAAATGATTAATCATATATATATATTCATTATAAAAAGAATGGTATACCATTAATTATATATTTAAAAATTAACTTATAAAATTAAATAAAACATAATAATAAGTATATATCTGAAAACCCAGACAAGAAAAGTGGTCATTCGCTAAAGTCGATTTGAAAATTGACAATTTAATGAGTGCCAATTGTGGCAGCTCTGGCAATTCCTTCCTCTATTCGTCTTCTATCGCCCAAGAATTTCCTCGAGGAAACGACTTTCATGTCATCGCCAAATTTATAAACAAACGGAATACCAGAAGGAATGTTGATTGAGCAAATATCGTAGTCTGATACCCCTGGTTTTGGAAACAAATCATTTGGTCAAATTAATAAGAAATATATTAATGTTATACTATCAATAAATTGTAATACAAGAACAAAACTTATTAATTACTTACCATCTAAATACTTGATGAGACTTCGCAAAACCGTACCATGGGCAACGATCAAAACTCGTTGTCCACTTTGAATGCTTGGTACAATATAATCTTTCCAATAAGGAATGACTCTCTCCATGGTTTCTTTAAGCGACTCAGTGTTTGGAAACTTTTCGTTTGAAGCGTATGCTGCAGACACGATTTTCGGATTACGCCATATGGCCTTATAATACTTGTGGCTTGACTCCATCTCCGGTGGAAGAACGTCAAAACTTCTTCTCCAAATGTGTACCTAAAAATTTAACAGTCATTAAATAAATATATTAAGTATTTTATGTATAATTTAAAGTATTTAAACTAATAAATTGTATATGTGTACAACAGATACCATACGCATTTATTTTATAGGAGTAACTAGTAAAAAATTGTATGGATAATATAAATGGTCTTTAATTAGCATTACTATTATTTATAACATTTATTATCTTTTTTTTTATAACTTTAAAATCGTACTTCAAAATTTAATTAGAATCAATTTGTTACTAATTTTAAGTTATTCAAAAATAATTAGGTACCAAAATTTAAAAACTTAAATTTATCTTATTGACAAAATACTTAAATTGTATTTCAATTAACAATTAATTCACTTAGATTTTATTTATACGCACACATATAAATTTTTATATACGTCTAAAAGTATATTCAGTATTCACACTACCCGTTAAAATCATTTCACATTATTTAATATTATTATTTACTGGTAAGGTTACCGGTAATTTTATTTATTAAATATTTATGATTTATTGTAAAAAATAAACAGCTAAACCTAATATTGATTCGATACAAACCAGATGGAATTCAAAATGCGTTCGTAATACAAAATTGCCATGTGTTTTATGATGAAATACTACAGATAAATATAATATAATTATGTACTTAGGTAGGTAAGGTAATTACCTGTTTTTCGCCGTATTTGTTAACCAATTCGGCTTTATTAAATCCCGTCAAAGCCCCGTAATGCCGTTCATTTAATCTCCATGATTCTTCAACTGGTAGGTTTGGCTGGTCAATTTGATTAGTAATAATCTTTAAAGTCTGATGAGCTCTGGTCAACAAAGACGTATATGCTCTGTCGAATTTAAAGTTCGACTGTCTCAACAATTCTGCGCATTCCATAGCTTCAACCATACCTATATTATAATATTTAACAATTTATTATAACTAATAAATATTATAATTCATATTGAGTAGAAAAGCTTGCAAAACTTGGGAAAACGTAATTTCGGAAGTTTTCAAATGCCAAGCAGTATAGTTTGGAAACCTTCAAAAGTCAACAGTAAAATTTTTACATTTTTGAAAATTTACCCTTTTTTTAAAAATCATAATTTAAGAAAAAATATTAAATTTCGAGGAGCAAGTTGTATCGTTATAATAATTGTTTCTATAAAAAAAATAGATAAATTAATAAATATTTCGTATTATTTACACTACGCATAGGGAAATAGATATCAATTAGTCAAAAATTACCAAAATAAAACACTTAAAAAAAATTGTAGTAAATCGTAGAAAATTGTACATTTTAGATTTATAATTGCTGAAATATATACAATTTGTAATACTATTACGATTCTAATGGCATAAGTGGGTATGAACGGGCAATAATGATAATTTATCTTGACGATATTTTTTTTTACCACTATTTGTGAGTATACAGTATATTTTAAATATCTCATCAACATAATGTTATACAGTATTACCTCGATCTGATAATAATGAATCGTACCATCCGCAGAAAACATTGTTTTTGGACCACTCGCTTTCGCCATGTCTGGCCATCACCACAATTCGGTTCCCCGTCATTTCTGAAACATTAAAAAAATAAAACATCATTAGTAGGTGTTAATTAATTAATTTCATTAAATTTAAATTTACGCGAAAAAAATGTATTTAAAGAAATGTTTTAACTGTACAAATGGAATGAGACGTTTATTATAATATAATCAGACAATAACAAGAACAATAATTACTGTTTGTTATGAGTACAGTAAAAGATTTGACACAGCTTGTATTTAATTTTAACAACCACCTTATATATCATGTGCAGAGATAATAATGTTTTTTTTTTTATTATGTGTGGCAATGACGAATAAATGCTTGTACATTATGTATTTATTAAAGAACAACTATTAAATTTAAATTAGATAAACAAAATGATTCAACTTTTAACTTTCAGTTATGTAAAATTTTATTCTTATTATCATTATCATATATTATACAGTAAAAACGACGCTGTGATACATTAGTTTATAAATATATTTTCATAAATTAAACTTTTATCATAAAATTCAAAACACTTGTAAGTTATAAGATAATATAACTAATAATAGTTGGTCACGAGATACCAATGAGATGGTCTTATACAATGGGCTATTAAATAAATTAAATGTGCCGAAGACTATATTTGGGATTAATCAAGTCTTGAGGTCTGGTACCCATGTTATATAAAATGTATACATATGGTTTTAAACAAATTTTTTTGAACAAACAAATCTATATTAAATATATAAATTAATTAATTAATTAAAGCCTGGAGTATTATGAAATGTTTATTCTACGACCAGTTTCAGATTAAAAATTCATCGTCAAGTAAAATCACAAAGTCAAAAAGTAAAACGCGACTGAATATGAAAAAATAAATGAAGGAATAACACAGTGAAAAAATAGATAATATAGATATAGATAATATTAAATTCGTGTTGATAATTATATTTTTTGAGAATAAGGATGATTAGAACCATGTGGTATTAAGCATCATTTTTTTGTGTAGGTTTCCTGTAAATTCTAAAATCAAATTTATTTTTTACTATGGAAACTGTAAGATCTAAAAAATTAATTTACTATTTATTTGTATTTCGAGTGTAATTGAATGTTTTTATTTATTTTGTTTAAGTAATTAACTAAATTTTTCACTTATCTATTTGAACCTCTAAATAAAATGAAAGTATCATCAACATATTTATAATTTGCAATTATCTATGGACTGTATATTTTGTTGTTAATAATATAATTGATTTCATAATTTTGCATGTAAATTTCTTATAAAAGAGCACTTAAAGGCCCACCCATAACTAACACTTCTTTTTGCTAATATATTGTTTATTATTATACTGGAAATAGTTTTGATTAGTAATTACATTTATTGATTGAATAATTTTTAGTACTTCATTTGTATTGAATTTATTACTATATTTATTACTATGGATAAGTTTATTTTTTAAAAAATGTACTGTTTCGTATTTAAGATAGAATGTATATACATTTTTATCGTAAAACCAATAACAGAATTTACTCAAATTGTGTTTTGTTACAAATTATTCTATTTTTTTTAAATTTAAATATTCATTAATAATATATATTATTATATTATACTATAATTAGTAGAAAAATAATAATTTAATAATAATATTTCTGGAATCTTCGTTGAATTCTAAAATTAAAGTAATGTTTCACCGCATTATTATTCCACTTTTTTCAAATCTGCTGTTATCCGTTAATTGTATTTATATTCAACATTATAATATTCTGAAAAATTAAATATTTTTGTAAAAATCAAATATTTGAACAAAATAATATAATTGTTTCGAAGTCATACAATTCTACATAACGACAACACGATTAACATTCATTGTTATAGGAAATTGAATGTATATCTGTAAGTAATGATTAACCATTGCTAATGAAAAAACGATTCTGAGCAGAATTTGGTTGATAGAGTTACTTTGTCAACAATATATATGTCATATTATGGTAAAATAATTACCTAAATATGCATTATATATTTTCTTTAATAATATTTGTTTAATATTGTACCTGTATTCCCATTTTTTCACATTTATTAGGAAAATCAAAAAATAACCTGTTTAAAGTATCTCCCCAGTCCGATTTCCATTCAGAAAAAGTGCTATCATTGAAAATCGGAGCAAAATTGCTGGTAGAAAAGCTGTTCACAAAAAAACAAATAAACATCATTGTAAAAACAATACATTCTTTACTCCGCTCAGAATCTAAAAATAAAAACGGTTTAGTGTTTTATTTATTTGTTTAATATATTATAGCTTTATAGGGAATTTTTTTAGTATCTACTACGGTAAAATATTATAACAAGAAATATTTAACGAAAATTAAACAATATGATATTATTATTATAAGTTATATTTTAAAATATATATAAAAAAAAAACCTAGTTCAAACATAAATAAATATTAACTTTAGATATACATATTATTATTATATTAATATCAAATACTTATATATTTGTATTACATTGCTCTTTAGTATTTCTGCTTTCGGTGCACTTTATAAGCAAAAAACAAAGTCAAACACAAACACATGATATATTACGATTTCACAACACGATCTATGGTTATTATAGAGGATAAAAAAATAATAATATTGATTAGGTCGTAATACTTTCATTATCGCGATATCAATAACAATTCAATAAACAAAAGCAACATACGGTTTACGCGATTCGTACATAATACAATTTAGCATCATAAAAATCATTTCACCGGTTAAAATATTTAATTTGTTGCCATTAATGAATATTTTATCAAACAATACTAGCATAATATGATTAAGACGGATATTTATAATAGGTAATATAAACTTTTACATATTTTTATTTATTGTTCAAAAAAATATAGCCGGTTTACCATACGCCAAAATGTGTTTTGCGATGACCGAAAATTCCGGTGTAAATAATTGTATTTTAAGTTTTCTTCTGGATTTTTTTACATTTTTAGATCATATTTTAGGATTTCGAACACCCGTACGTCTTGTTTATAACTCGCGCAATAAATCGATAAGGACAAAATAAGCATTCAAGATTTATAAATTTGAGCAGCCGAGCTGATAAATTTGGAACCCGACTTTTAGATCAAAATATCAAATATAATTTATTTCGCTCAAATCGGTTGTATTGGGTTTTCTAATGATTAACCATCGACGCTAAATTTTTTTTATAGAGCAAACTTTGAAGCTTTTCAATTTTCCAAAATACAAAAAATTGTATTTTTAAAGCTGAGAATAATTAACTATACCTACTAATATAAAATAAAATATTAGAATTTTCTATATTTTATTTTTTTTTAGAGCATATTTTAAGGGCATATAATACCGGAATACCGGTCATTTTCAGGTATATTTAACTGCATCACTTTTGTAGATAATAATATACATGGCCTTACATATAGTATTATAATATCTACTTTCATAATATAGTTATGTTGGTATTATATTTATGAAAAAAAAAATAATCGTAAATTTATTCTTTATTGAATAACGCAGTCAAAGATAGGAAAGGGGTTAATATCCTGCACATGCCATAGGAAATGATTTGTTGTTGGATTACTATAAAATTATGATGCAATGCGATAATTCTTGCCACAGAGTTCAACAGTATACATAATTATCATTTTTGCATGTTAAGTGTGCACCAAAATATCACAGACCAGATACCTTATAATGATTGTTGTAATTTTAATAATTAGCTCAAATTCCGAGTCCAGAAAGCAATCAAGTCATATTCAATTAAGAACATACTCATGAAGGCCCTCTCCCCACTGACCACGTTTGTGGTCATGTTTTTTTTATCATTATTAAATAGATATTTCAGATTTTATGTATTACAAATACGAACAATTATTCCATTTTAGTTATCGATTTTATATGTATACATCGGATGTGGGTCGCTATAATGTTTTTATTAAATATTAATATATTTAAAAAGAGACAAATAAGCTATCCGTTAGACCTATAACAATAAAAAAAAATATCCGGACATACTTCGCACTATGGGTGGGCCACTGTTGTAAGTGAGAAGTTGGGAAGGTAGGATATAGGGGAATTTAATGTATATTTGTACGCAACGATTAATCTTTACTAACCAAAAACGATTCTGAGTGGAGTTCGGTATTACATGTTTTGAAAAGCCGTAATATTTACGATTTAAAAATAATATCTACATTTCGTAAATTATACCGTTTTCCCTACGTTGTTTTCACATTTATTATGAAAACCCCAAGGAAATCAAAAAATGACCTTCTTAAAGTACCACCCCAGTCAAATTTTCTTTCAGAAAAAGTGCTACATTAAAATTTCTGGTAGAAAAGTTGTTCACAGAAAAAAAAAACTTCATTGTAAAAATAATACATTCCTTGCTTCCATCAGAATCATAAATGATCTAAGAATTTAAAATTTTTAAACACACCCCTGTTTTTAATTGATTCAAATACAATTTTGTATGGAATAGGTACATTCATATTGATAAATTCATATTTGGCCAAATTATTACAGAAAATTGAACAAATTTTCATATCAATTATAATGTATGTAACGAATGAACGATAAAAACATTCAACTACTTAATTAAAACAGTCGTAGATATACAACACCGCAAGGAATTCGAATGATTATTATAGCGAGCGAGTAATAAAATAAATTATATTGGAGAAATATCAGTTATTTACCATTTATTTTATTATACATCAAAACAGATAAAAAATAAAAATAAAATGTAAATAATTATTAAACAAATAATATTATAGATATTATATTTACCGTAATAATATGTTGTTATTATATTTTATTATTGGTTTTTTTTTTTAAACTAAAGAAACATACGTTGTACGTATCATACGTACATCATATTAATTATAGAATTATGCGATAATAACTGCAGCTTCAAATTAAACGGAAACTAATTTATTAAAGAATCTATTAATTTCTTCGCTATGTCAGCATCGAAAACTAATAATAATTAATTTAAACAATGGTTTCAATAAAATATGCTTTATCGTTTTACTATAATGTTATTATCGTAATGTTTCTTAAATTTATAATACATATTTTTGAATAATTGTTATTTGCTATATTATGTCCATACAAGAGTACTTATATAAGTATAAAGGGTAGACTATGATCGAAAAAAAATGTAGATGTAGAATGAGATGTTCAATAAGAATTTAATAAATATATAAATCGATATAGACCACTTTGAAAATCAATGTTTAAAGGTATATAATCAATTATGACTTTAAAGAAATATACTTGTAATTTATCTTGAATTATAGACTATCGCCAGAAATTGTCTACACGCGTGTTGAAACAAGAGGGTTCCAACACGATTACCAAACTTCTTATAGACAAATTCTTACTAAGTACTAAAAAACACGGAGCTATAGCCCTGTTAGGTAGTAAAATGGGCCGGTAAAATTGTTTAGCCCGGTAAGTCTGAATGTAATTAATAAAGATATGAATATACAAACTAAGTTAACATGTTTTATATTTTAAAATTAATCAGAACACAGTGAATCTTACCCTAATGGGTAGCTCTGTGTTATCAGTCAAAAGTACGTTTGAAGTTGATGACTTTGTAAACATTCAATATAGGTGGGTATACAAATAAAAACAGGAAAAATCGACATGTAATCTACAGGAAAAAAAAAGTTTGGGAGCCTCTTATATATACTTATAATATAATATGAACTATCTAATAATATTAATAACTTTAATATCTGACACGTTAATTAGAATTAAATAAATAATTTATAAATACTATACAACGTATATTTTATTAATTGCATATTTCCTTCGGACGTTGTTGTTGTAACAGCAAGGAGTGATTTCATAAATATGTTAATATTATACTCGTAAATCAATAGGTAGTATGTAAGTATGTAAGTACTCGTAATGAGCACTCCTTCTGATTTTTCAAAATAACTGTATGATTAAAAAGAAAAAAATTCACGTCATGAATACTATAATTTTTCATAAAATAATAATTTAAATAAAACGGTGTACCTAAAAATAACTAAATAAATGTTTAGTAATTATTTATTTGAATAATACGAATGTATTCATAAATGTACGTTTTTATTATTATATAGAACTTACAAGTCCCATAAAATAATATGGTATCACAGTTACTTAAACCCAGTGGTGTATTGGGGGGTATAAGCGTATACCTAATACGCTATTTTTATCCAAGCATATAGCTTATGACAAATTGATGATACGCGGGTATACGATCGTATCTACCGATGCAATTTTAAGATAACATTTCTGATGTCGTTGTTGTTGTTTATACTGATGATGCTATTATACATTATGTTATGTTACCTATATTATGTCAAAACTGAACTATGTATATGTAGTCAGTAGGTATAGGAATGCTTTTAATTTTACGGATACCGCGCGTGATTTTGTATAGAAACCAAAGCCGGTCTTGAAAATAATACGAAATTAACTATACTACAGCATTAATCAATCAAGATACGAGATAAATCAAGTGGCGTATTATTATTATTATTATTATTATAAGAAGAGTTCGAGGACGTTCGGAATTCCTCAGACTATAGGTACTCCCGGGTTGAACGAATCGCCGTGTATTTAAAAAATGATAATAACGATAATAATAGTAATAATAATTCATCGTATATACACGTATAATATCCTCGATTCATTAATTTGCATTATAGTTTCTGTATGAAAAAAAAAAGAAAAAAAAGAAAAGAAAATTCATAAACCGTACCCATGAAGCAAATTACTGCACACCTGAATCATTAATAAAATAATAACCCTATGCACATGACACATATATTATATTATGTGACCATTCAAGCGTGTATTATGTAATACGATAACAAAATAAAATATGTGTCACAGGCAGCATATTATCAATGACAAACAGTTGTTTAGTAAACATCGTGGTACCATTATAGAGGTATACTATATAAACCGAATTTAAAGAATAATGCTGTATTTACATTAGAAATATACGCGGTATAATGACGTGTATATGTGAATCGTATGATTGCCTAATCGTAAATCTTTATAGCCACTTAATAAGGAAAAAAAGTGTCATAACAACGTTTATGATGCACGAACGAAATTAAGTATTTTGTTCATCTCGTGTATTTTATAAAAACGAGGACTACTACAATATTATTATATTATGACGTTTAGCCGTGGAAGCCAGTGAAAATAGTATGATATTTTTACCACAACAAATGCTGGTGATCATCCGACACCACGAGGTAGGTAAATATTATTATTTATCTTCTTTTTTTTTATTATACCTCGTCTCTTTTCCCATTTATTTGGGTTCGTCCCACAGTATATTCTTAGAATTGTTGTCAACAGTGCAATTTTCCAAAACTTCCAAATGTTATGAATATATATTCTTATGCAATAGGTACCTACTTATATAGTATAGTGCTATACAATAATGTACATACATACCGTTTTAAAGTGATTTTTATAAGACGTGTTAAGTTCTCAGTTTAAATTGATATTTGCATCTAACCTAACCTAATATGTATCTAATAATTAAAAATAATAAATAACAAGATATTTAAACTACAGTTGGTGTCCTATAGTATTATTCTTATGGTTATGATTCTGTCAATATTAATTTTTTTTTTTCATTCTGGTTTTTTTTTTGCGAGGAAGGGAAACATATTATGTAAAGAAAAATTAAATTTGTATTTTCATCCCTTAATTATTGAAAAAAAAAATGTCTTATTTTATCACTTTCTATCGGTTATGAATGTATGTTAAATTAAAATGTTTAGAATAATATCTATTTTAGGTATATTTGGTATTAATATCGAATTGCTTGTTTATTTATTTTTGTTTATTCAAGGGTTACCTTGGTGTTACGGAAAATAAAACTATTATAATAATAATAATAATTATTATTATTATTATTGTTATTATTATTATTATTATTATTACTATTATTTTCACTATTCAAATTTTACAATAAAACACATTTAGTCCGCCGAAGGTGAACTACCATCTTTCTACATATTTGTTTTCATTCAATTCTGACACGGCCAAAACCAAAAATTAGTATGGGTAAAATAATAATAATAAATTTCGACACGGGCAACGTCGGGCGCGGGACAGCAAGTTATATATATATATATATAATAAAAGTTAAAAAAACGAGTAATTTATAATATGTCATACAAAGACTAGATGTATGTACACATTTATTTGTCATATTTGGCAAATATTATACAAGTGGTAGGTAATTTAAGCAGATAATTTATAATAGGAGACACAAAATACTGATGTACCCACACAATTTAAAGAGCAAATTAATATATAATAATAAAAACTGTTTAGTTTGAAAAATAATAAAGTATACATTTTATTCTACTATAATGAATTGTTATTCTGTTGTACTTCAATTTGTCCCATACATTTATTGTGATACATATTGTATTGTGAAAACGCGTGTAATAACCATTTATAGGCAAAATGTAAATTTAAAATTATTAACTGTATAATGTATGATAATCATATAATTTATTTTTAATGAGTATTTAACAAAAATAAAACAAAAATTTATTACTTAGCCCCTCCGTCACCTTTTCATCACTTACGCCTACGGCCATGAGCAGATAATATTAAATCAAAATGTCTAAATTAACAAATATGTTTTAATTCAATAAATATGTACTTATGACCTATCTCCACTGTAGGTTTTGGTCAGCGGTGAATAACGAATTGACTGTTTTAATTTTTAATCACATTTCACGTTTACGACAGAGAACGACTGTTATGAAAAAATACAAAAAAACAACGGGAAATCCAAAAATATCTTTATATACCCATTGATGAATAACGATCGGAAGAGCGATGTAAAACAATTTGAAAAAATTTATTGAAAAATTTAATTTAAATCTACGTGGTATACGTTTACGGTAGAGATGTACAGTTCGCAAACAAACGATTCACCTAAAAGAACGATTCACTAGCCTACTAACCCTACTAACTCTCGTACAAATTGAACGTCGTCCATTAATTGCTTAATTTAATAATTTTATCATAAAAAAGACACCACTGTACTGGATCACAATTCAGTGGAATAGGTGGTAGATCGTTCAAACAACGAACATTCAATATGCGTGCTCAATGAGTTCAAACCCCTCTATTGACTATTATAAATGTTTACTGGTTTTAAATAACTGTATTTCTACTTTCTTCGTTCTTATTTGACAATTTGAGATACTTACCCTCTATAATTACAAAGCAACACAAATCCATGAGTGTAAATTTAAAAAGACAATTTTAAATTTGAGTGTTTTTTTTTTTCTTATTCCTTATTTCTTATTTCGATAATTTATTCTTCTCTATGCTATACGTATCGTCTGCTCTATCTCTATCTTACTGTTTATACAGTATTTACCTTTCAATTTAACTATAATTCTATCTTATCATACAATAGTTGCCCGATACCTTCCACATTGTCTTACATCATATTAGTCAACAAGGTGCATAATATTAAAAATATAAATAATATTGTTTGTAGATTTTACATTATTTCAAAACCACATCTTCGTGTACCATAGCTTGTATATAGATACCTATCTACTTGCAGGTATGTTATTTTCCGCCACGTCATGTAAAATTTTACCAAAGAAACGTGCTTATGACTACGAATGCACTCATTTTTAAATTTAAAAAATATTGCAGTGTACGACGTACGTATATATTAATAATAATTATTAACAGCAATGATAAATATATAGGAAAGTATCGAAACACAATAATCACTGAAATGATTCACTGAGTTAATGAAGAAATAAATTGTAAACTACCCATAATAATATGTTTTATTAATTACCGACCTAAAAATCATGAAATCATGTACCGCGATAAGTTAATTATTATTGTGAGATGATTCGTTAACTTGAATAATTTCCTTGTTATTCAAATGAAAACATTTTAGAAGCCGTTCATCGTTATTTACTATCCAATTATGATTAAAAAAAATATCCAAAATGTTTAAGCATAAACATGAAAATATTTTTTTTTTTTTTTTTGTCTCGTGAATAAAAGAATTGCCGGATAAACAATTTTTTTTGTTATTTGTAATCAATATTTTAAAATTAAATTTAGCATGCGTTTAATCGTTTCTTTGTATAACGTGGCCTAAAGCAACACATATTTTGTTAAAACTCCTCTACCTATATTTTATAATAAAAACAAATTTAATGTTTAAATTGTCATCGCTTAAAAATCAGTTAATATTATACAGTGTCTATACTTTATATCCTGTTCTGCCGGAGGCCTTATTCATTATAATATTTTCACTTCCCTGTATTTACATATTGTATACACTGCGACTCTAACCATAGGTCTTATTTTTAAAGATTTTAAATAGATTTTGTTTTCACTTATAACATCTATATAGTACACAAATTAAATTAATTTTAATATTCAGATATTATTTAAAAAAAAAAAAAATTATAATACACAAGTATGTATAATTATTTTATATGAATTTATGAATAATAAATATAACTATAAAACTGTTGTATTCAATGAATCTATACCAACAATTATTCAAGCAAAATAATTTATTATTGATTTAAAAATACAAATTACGAACGGTTACGTATTTTAAAAACTAAAAATATTCAACGGGGAAGTAAGATAATTTCGGGAATTATGCCAAAAGAAGCACTCTACAATCTACATCTTTAAAAATTCCGATTTTAAAATACCAGTTTGCATTTTGTTAACACGGATGTATTATAATATGTATGTTCAAAGCGATATACCTTAAAACGCTACGTAGGTACCTATAAGGTTTCGTTAAATTCTTATAATTCTCTTAGATAATGTATAGGTATCGGATAGTAATTTTCTAGTTAATTGAGACACGATTTGTTAATCAACACGCATATTAAACGCAGAGATATTGTAATATCACGGAACCAATTATACTATTTTATCTGCATCAGCCTAAATATTTGGGTTAAATAAATTTTAGTTCATATGGTATACCTACTACCTACAATATTTTATAGCAAGTCTACAAACACATAAAATAAAAAAAATATAATACTATGTAATCATTAATATTCATATTTTCAATCAAAATTGTAAGTCATTGAAATTACACAATGTAATAAAATAAAGGCTGTTAATGCTGATGGGTGTGCAAATGTTTTAGAAAAGAAGTTGAAAGGGAGAATATCTGCATGAAACGATAAACCATTACTAGTGAAAAACGATTCTGAGCCAAAATAACCCAGAAATAAACAAAATTTAAATAAAAACTTCTCTCAGAAAACTGTTCTCTTTCATTACACAAAACTACAAGAAAAATCAAAAATAAACCTCCTCGATAAATCAAAAATGCTAAAAGAAAGTTCCTATAATATGTTTAATTGGAGCAAGAGATTTCTGGTAGAACAGTTGTTAACAGATAGAAAAAAAAACTCATCAAAGTAAAACCTATACATTTCTCACTTAATTTAGAATGTTAAAACAACAGGCAATTTAAAAGGACATATCAATCACATTTGATATAATCTTTCTAATGAGCAATATATAAAAAATGTATGTGTTCAAGTAAAACAAAGTAAAATATCTAAAACACATATTTTAAAACTGTATAAATGACAACATTTTGAAGATAGCCTCATCTGCTTTTTTGAAGTTATAAATTACTTAAAACGAAGTGAATTTATTTAAGAAAAACAAATAATGTAAAAATTCTTCTTTTGATAAGATGAGTTGAATATTTATAGAGAATTATAAAATACTGATGCTTCAAAATGTGAACATCAACAAATTTTGTAACAAGTATTTTATCGTTCAAACATATTTGAAAAAAGCCTTTTTGTTTGTTGTAGGAGAATACATTTTCTATATAGCCCGTTAGAAAAGCACAGACGAAAACTGCCATTGTGGTAACCTCTCAATGTTCGGTAGGTGTATAGTTGAAAGTTAAAACTACATATATACCGAAAGGGGAATACAAGAGAGGGACTATGAAGGCTGAAGTCCACCCTTCTTAGCATGTAGGTGTTTTACAAATAGGGCATATACTAAATTATATAAATTATAACAAGGCACGTATCTAGACGGTTTGGGGTTCAAACCCGCCCGAACATTTTTCGAAAATTGTAAATTGTGTACAACTTTTATTGTTGTGGTAAAAATAAAATGTCTGTTTATAATGAAATGTTGTGTAATTTATTAATATCATTACAACGGATCTAGAGCGTCTAGTTTATCTAGAGTAATGTAATATCGATAGGATTTCGAAATTTTCGAGATTTCATAACTTTACGGAGACTAAAACATATTTAAGGACAAATTTGATACTAGTTATACTGGATTAACTTTACAAAATTATAATATTAACATCGAATAGGTAATAAATAGATATGCCAGATTATCACGAACATGGGATTGTATAGTTTAATATATTAAATTATACCTAACATAACCAATTAATTTTTAGACTTTTTTCATAATATGTGCATTGCTACATCTATATAAATTATGATAGAGACATGTTTTACAAATGTTCAACTATAGTTTAAAATTTAGTTAAAAAAATGTATGTACAATTTGGATTATATAGGTATAATGTTTACAGTTACTAGTTACAGAGACGACAACAATTAATTAATATTGCACATAGAGAGGAGATTACGATATTATATGCAATATATTAATTATTTGCAATTTTTTATGAACCCTCCGAATTTCTCTAATTCCTAGACCCGTCCTGCATAGGCCTACACGAGATTTTTAATACGAAAAAATGTGATAAATTTATATTATTCCGTCGTCGTAAATGTATCATATATAAATAACATAATATTATATTATTATAAATGTTTGATTTACAATTTTTACGATTTTGTTATGTAGCAAAAAACAGAAGCTTGTCGCAGCTATTCAATACTGTTTTCGCCAGATTTTATTTTCGATCCTAATTTTACGATTACATCGTTTATATGATCGACTATCTATAAATCTATTCCACGGTAATGTACAGTTGCAGGAACCAGCGCTCTCATTCACGCACTAGTAAACTACGACCTGCAGTTATTATAACTTCCAAGCATGTTTAATAATAGTATGTATAAAATGTGTAATGTGTATTAAATAATCATAATATTTCATTTAAGTCTCCGTTACTGCCTATAATCGTTTATATTTTTAAATATTTTAAAAATTCAATAGGTAGCGATAATTTTAATGCTATATATTATCTAGGCATATAGAATATAGCTTATGTCTATAATATTCTGATAAAGAAATTTATCAATACAAAACAAAATGTTGTCAAACAAACTAGGTACCTTAGTAAGCTTATGAATTTTACCTTTATCTATAAACGTATTATTTTCAGTCGCAATAGCTTTTTTAGTCATAACTACAGGGTACCTAATACCTATATTATATACAAAAAGATAACATTTATTACTTTTTATCAATTCAATATAGGCACAAAGATACACGTGACAGTGTGACATAATAATATTATAATATGGTATATAATTTCATATAAGTTCGTTTCGATAAAAAAAATAATGAACCATTATAATATGCTTTGGTTATATTAACTCGTATATATTTATAAAGTTTAATCAATTATTTTTTTTTAAGTGTGGTACCACTACAAGTACTAGTCAAAATATAGTATAATGAACGTAAAATAAAAATACTCAAACATTATTGTCAAAAAAAATTGTTTTAGATTCTGAGTGTAGCAAAGAATGTATATATATTGGATATTTTACGAAGATGGTTTTTTTTTCTTTTTTTTTATCCTGTGTACAAAAATTCGACCACAAATCTTGCTCAGATATATACTCGCGGCACCATTTCTGAAAATAAATGTTGTCCAGATGGTACTTTACCTAACCTTGGGAGGTCATTTTTGATTTTTCAAGCAGTTTTCATAATATCTGAGAAAAACCTAGATAAAAAGGAAGAAAAATAAGAAAGTTACGAAAAAATGCTTTTATTAATTTTCAATTTTATTATTTGTTGTAATTCTGTAAAAAATATTAGTAGAGACTTGAAAAGTGGATAAAAACTTAAATTTGCCTTTTCTAGACATGTAAAATTTTCGAAAAATGTTTAAGCTATTTATAGACATTTTAATTTTGCAAGTTTTGTACGTAATTTTTTTTCGGTAGGTACTCTGTGGTAAAATTGTTAGACTTATCAGATATGCTTGACAATTTAACAAGAGGTTCATTTAAAATCTTACTTTGTGGTCAAAAAAATAAAATTTGAGTTTAATGTAGTTTTTTTTTTTTTATAAAAGTATTTTAATATCAAACTTTGACAAAAATTGATGAGTAAAAATGATATGGAACAAATCTGATTTTTCAATTTTTTTGAAATTCTCAGCGTAGTAAGAGAGCTGTTGGTTTTACAATGCTGTTTATTCTTCTTTTTCTTTTTTTTCTTTGTTCTAGTCTGTGGACACATTTTTTTCTAGTAAACTTACTCCGATTTTTATATGTAGCAACTTTTCTGAAATGCTCAAGTTGTCTAAATTGTACTTTAGGGAGGTTATTTTTTGATTTTCAACACCATATTTTAAATAAAAGCACTTAAGTGGGAAAAAACGTAGGAAAACGTGCAATTGCACGATTTAGCGCAATAAGCGTTTTGAAATTAAATTTAAACAATAATCACAAACAACATTACAACACTTCAAATTATCTATTACCGAACTGCGCTCAGAATCGTCTTTCGTCAATCAATGGTATATCGTTGCTTACCTTGCTTACCTATCCTACCTTCCTAACTTCTTACCTACAACAGTGGCCGCTCCCATCCCCAGTATCAGCTATTTTTTTTTTTTTTAATATATGTATATTGCCAATTTAATTGAACGATGGTGGAGTCAAAATTCAGCGGATTGACTAAGTTTCGAAATTATAGCTTTTTGAAGTTCTGATATTATGCGGATACTATATGTTACGTTAAATCACTAAATGTTGTCTTATCTAAAATATGTTTAAACACCAGTTCAAACCCGTGACTCGAAAAAAAATGTTTTGCATTTTTCTTTTATCTTTTACCTAAACAAAAAAAAAACAAATGCATTTTGTGTGTACCTAGAAACCCAATCCATCGCTCACTCGGACTATTTTAATCGCAAAATACCCCTAGATTTGTTGTACAAACTTTTCTACTAAAAATCTTGCTTTGATAGATCAAGTGTAGCTTATTTTCTGAAAAGAAATTTTAACTATATGATAACTTGAGGAGGTCATTTTTTGATTTTTCCAGTTTTTCCAATAAATGGGAAAAATCGTAAAAAACTGAGAAAATCGGTACAACATTAAACACATATTTTTAAAGAAAATATATACACACAGGGTGGCTACACCCTACCCGATTATCCTAGGATGTTTTTAACATCAATAACTTTACTTGAAAACTCGGGAGCTGGCTTTACTGACCAAACGGTCAAGGAAATGTTACTCCTTGTGCGCGGCGACAATGTGGTAGGGTGCACCCCATTATCCTAAGACGTCTTTTTCATTTTATCCTTCCGGGTTATTATATTTCGTAGTCTTGTAACCTCGTAATACATGGTTTTGTTTTGTCCTACCAAAATAATAGTCCGGAAACCTGGACTTGTGTTTAGAATGATAAATTATTAAATAGTTGAATATCACGGAATAAGTGCATGTATTCAAATTTACACGGAAATGTCTGAAATATTACAATATAAAACTATACACTATACATTATTATGTAAAATTAATAAAAAAAATCTCAAATCACCCTACAGTTTGCTCCATTAATAACTATACAGGTATTATTATTATAAAGTAAATGCGAATTCCGTTTAAAAGACGTTATTTCGTCAAAACGAATAACGATTATGACTCAGTTGTCTTATGGCCTTGTTGACATATTACGGGTGGAAGTGTCGTGGGTTCGTTTCAGTTTCGTCGCATTCAAAACACTGAACACTTAACTACGGCGGTAAACCACAACGAATGTTTACCGAAATAATGTAGAGTTTACTCGGGGTTCTATTTGCTCAGACAATTGTTTCGCAGTCCGGCAAGTGGCAAAGCTGGTAAGTACAAACTATGCAATTATAACGTGTAGATACATTAAAATATGTACATCACTGCGTAATGAGAAACTCAAAACAATTTTATATTCCACACTGCAACTAAAAAATAAATATTCTTTCTGCGATCACTGCACTGATACAGTCGTCTTCATAGAAAAAAAGGCAATTATTGTACGCTTAATATGACTATAACTAAATACGTATTCATGCTAATCGTACTGACTATAATGCTCGACTATAATAATGCTCGTTGCTCCCAGTAATGAAGTTATTGAAGGTAAAAATTTTAATTTTATGTGGGCTAAAAAAAAATATGGAAAATCTGTACACTATTTTTGGATTATAAGGATAGTATTGGTTCTACTATAGTGTTTTTTTTTTTTTTTTTTAGTTAGTGTATCTGTTAAATTTTATCTACTTATAAGTACAGCATCTTTTTTAGAAACAAATTTTATCATATCGATATATAGAGGGGGTCAGTTATTGGATAGTGGCGATTTTTTTTCCCCTATAAATGTATAAAAGCATTTAAAGTTCAAAATTTGTATCAAAATCAATAAAATCGTAGCATTTAAAAACATGTTTAATAATATTTTGCTCAAAATAGCTTTTCGTTAGTAATGATTTATCATTGCATACAGATTTAAATTATTTGTCTGTATACGTTGTATCCTACTTGCCTAACTTCCTACCAATATCAGTGGCATCTTATCAGCAGTATCAGTTATTTTATTTAGGTTGAACTTTTTTCCGGTGACATTTTTTTTTTATTTATTCGTAAACCTGTTTTGACCACGATCCTAAAACTAATTACATTACTAATTAAATATTATGTATGATAACAAATGTAGTTTGGTTGTATAGAATAAGTTTTGATTATTGTTTATACATCGACAATAAATCATGGGTACCCGAGTATACGCTATCATTTAGCACATTTTTAGTGGTATACCTATTGGCATAACCTATAAACGCTACAATATTTGAGTTTTGTGTGTCGTAATTTAACCACGTTTAATAGATCAAGAGTCATGACAGTATCTACCATTTAATTATTTAAAACGGTATTTTTTTTATACATATATATATATATATATATATATATATATAATGTATAAAATATTCAAGTGAAATTAAGCTCTAAAAACAATAATACAATTGTATAATTGCTGTTATATAATTAAAATAGCAATAAAATCAACTCAATCTGTCTAAGTAGTTTTGCAAATAGCGCATGAGTTAGCAAAGTGACACATTACCAAAAACAGCCCCACTCCGAAAAAAAAAACAAGTGATTGCCTCAAGGAAAAGCAATAAAAAGTAATTTTTAAGTTTTTTTTTTCATATTTTCTAATATTTGATTATTATATTAATTATCGACATCTACGTAAAAGTTAAAATAAGATTCAAAGAAAGGAGGAACTTTAAAAAAAATGAGTGTTTAAATTGCTGGTAGGTAACAATTTATATTAATATTAATTAATAGTCTAGTTGCGCCACTATGTCTAGGTATATGCCACAACGTCTAGACGTTATCGTTTCGTTTAAATTTAAACTTAAAAAAAATTGATAATTTTTTTTAAAATAGATATACCTGATATATTATGTGATATATATGATCCACGTAAATATAATTCACTTGCATAATAGTGTATTTTTACGACATAACTTTTTTTTAATTGAATAAAATATTAAATAGGTGGAAGGTAGGTAGTATAAATTATACCTATCATTTTACTATTAAACCGCGATTTACTATATTTTGTAATAAATTATAATCGTGAGGTGTGTGCCCTAGACTACGCAACGGTAGCTGATAAGATAAGTTATAAAACAGTTATTTATACCCATGAGAGTATATCGGTGCCTAATAGGAACCTATGCGTGTTTTATAATAATATTATCTTCGTCAATATTATACAATACTAATTTATAAACCGCGACTAACGTAGATAACATTATTATTATAAGGTATTCTCGTATGGACATTTCGTAGATATTTAAATTATAAATCGTATAAGTATACTTAAATAAGTTAGTATTACAGATAGGAATAAAATTTATTAGAAGTTTATTTATTTATTTATTTATTTATTATATATTTATTTTGTTTTAGTTTGTTTTATTGAATTAAAATTAAAAATAGATAAACTAAAATGCTTTATTAACCGTTAATGGAATGTATAGTTAGAAATACCTATATTAAGTGTGATTCAAGGATAAAATGTGCGATAGAAGAAGATAAAGTTGTAGGTAGAGCTGTATTTGCATAACTTTTAGATTTTAATAACTTACATAGTGCATCAGTCATACTTAGGGCAGAGGACATGTAGCTCTAAAAAGCACGAAATTTGCAAGCACTAATGCACTAAAAACTCTAAAATATAAACAAAAGATAGGTACTACAAATTTTTTTTTCTAGTTTTTTAATTAAAAAATATCTAAAATAATAAAAACAATTACCTACTTCATTCAATTATGTGCCAAACCATAAACAAATTAATAAAAAAAACCTATTTAATGAAATATTTACTTTTAATTTGTATTGATTAAGCTAAGTAACTTAGTACGTTGCATATTGATTTTTAAATACATTTAGTTCCATATTTCTTTTTTGACACTAAAAAGTAACATTTTTAATATATTAATTTAAAATTGTTTAATGATTTTCGTTTTGATAAATATTATATTTTAAAAAATTGTGAAAAATAAGTTCGAAATAGCTCCCCCAAAGCATACAAATCTATAAATGTCTTAAAAAGAAAAAAGACTTGTGTTTTTATACATCTGTCCGTCCACTCTTGTTACTTAATAAGCAAAACAATGGTCATCGCCTGTTTTTTATTTACCTGTCCATCCACTGAAAAATAATGTCTTGGGCCCTGTTTTGGGGCCCCTAAATAGCATAAGTCGTGGCTCATAGCCCACCATAACACCCTATCGGTACTCCACTGACTTGAAGGGCTGATAATAAACTGCCAAGAACTGCTGTACGCTATCGAAGGGTCTATAATATGTTGTAAAACACTGTAGTAGGACGCAAGCTATCGGTTGGCCCTAATGCAAGTTAGAGCACTTTCAAATAAAAGTATTGGCGATAGAAAGTATTAAACTGAAACGGGGCCGCTATATAATTTTTTGGGCCGGACGAATAAATATTTCCCAGGCTGTTTTTATTAAGTAGGTTGGACTACCCAATGACTTACATGCAGGGTTGGACCTGCATGTAAGTCATATATTATTATATGTAGATTAAAAAGCAATGTAGTTAACAAGACAAGGTTATTGTATATATGCATTAGGCTTGGAACGGATGCTTTAACTAGTCATCCCTATCATAAAATAAAGTACTTAGTACAATTGAATTGCAAGATCTAAAAAATGATGTATGTATTTTTAATATAAAATAAAATAGATACGTTTACTCGTATAAAGCTAGAGCAAACATAATTTATTGACAGTGATTATTCAATGCCAAGGCTATGAATTAAACTCGTATATAATTAATATTATAAAACTAAGAGTATTAATACATAGATATTTTAAAAAAAAAACATAATATTAAAAGATTATTTTTATAAACTCATTTTATTATTGGCTAGTATTCTTTATTATGACCTCGCTGTAATGTATATTAAAGAAAATAATTTATATTTTTGTGAATTTCACTATATACCAATGTGTCTAAGTTGGAATAGTTGGACAGACCAACTATGAATATTTTATTTAATTATGAAAACCCTATTGGACATTGAGAAGAGATATTCAATGAGTTTATTATGCACAAATCACTCCTAGAACAATTCGCTAACCAGGACATTATAAGAATGGGTCCAAAATGAATTAGTCTTTTCGAACCGTGAGTCAACTGCATCGTTTTAACAATTTTAAAATGTATTTCACAAGCCGCAACACTACTAATAAAACCTGTAATGCTAAATAGTATGATCCTAACAAACGAACAAACAAACAAATTGCGAAATATTTCAATAAACTTGCCATCGACTATAGGGTCTTCTTATTAGTTATTCATCAATTCTATAGAATTATAATGTAACACAATAAATTACGGTTATAATTTGTCGCACTAATTAAAGTTTTTACACTTAAACAGCCAACAAGGTGACAATGTGACACTATCATTATAATTCAGTACGTTTCTAAATTATTCATAATTGCATAATAATATTATATATTATTAAATTATGAGATAAATAATTTATTAAATATTTAATGTATGTATAAATATGAAAACGGTATTGAAATCTCTAAAAAAATCTCTAGGTACAAGACCACTAAGGAACAACTTATAATGTACATTGTGTTAAAATTTCAAGCATTTCTCTAAGTAATATAATTTTAACAACAGATAAGTATACCAAATAAAAATACATATAAAAACACGAAAATACTAAATATCTATAAATAGCCTAAAAATAGCTAGAATGTTTTGAAAATTTGACCACGTTTACAAAAAGATCAATATAAATATGATGTAAAAACTAGAGGTTTCTACGATTATTTTTAACTGAATAACATAAATATAGCACACTTTTCCGTATTTCATACATTTTTTCCTGATTTAATTATTAGGAAAACTAAACGGAAAGTCAAAAAAACGACTTTATTACTCATCACAAACTAGACAAAATTTATTTTCAGAAAATATGCTATTCTTAAAATTTAAAAAAAGATTTCTGGTAGAAAAATAAATTTTTAAAAAAATTTCAAATAATAAAATGATTGTAAGTTAAAAAATCGTATTTTTCGTCTTTTTTAATTATTTCCAATTATTATGAAAACTTCTATAGATATCAAAAAATGACTTTCTCTATTTTTGCCATTTTACCTTTAATTTTCTTTCCAGTTTTTTCTAATTATTTTAAAAACCTCTAGGAACACCAAAAAATGACCTTTTTAATGCATCGGCTAGAGAAAATTTTTTTCGAAAATAGGTTTATCGAAGCAAGATTTCTAATAAAAAAGTTATTTACAAACACAAAAAAAAAAAAAACACGCATCATATAAAACCAAAAGATCTCTCACTATGCTCCAAATCTGAAAAGTTGAGGGTAATATAGTAATTTTTTTCCATAAGCTTTAAAATATAATTTTTGCACAATTTAAAACATGTAAAACTAAACTACGTTCAGAATCGTATTTCCTTAACAATCATTGCTAGGTTTATCGTTGTTTACAAAATATATAAATTAAATAATTTTATAATTTAAGTGGGGCCCATTATCTTTTCGAAGAAATAAACAATAATAATAATAATTACACTACCATGGCTAAATATACGGATATGTCAGCAAGATAACACTGCGCATAGATAACACTGCGCATATGGCCGTCACTGGCATACATCATAGAATAAATAATATTGCCGATTTTTTTTATCGTTATAGTAAAATCTCAAAGTAATAATAAAACGATACCACGTCTTGATAACTGCCAAATTTATTGATATCAGATGCAATATGACCGACACTGGCGTAAAATACGCAGCGATAGTGTAATTTGGTTATCTTGCTGACATACCTGTATGTTTAGCAATGTATTCTACCTTTTAAACTTACCACCTACAACAATGGAATGGCACACCCATCAGCAGTATCGGCTCTTTTTTTGTTTATTAGATTTTGTACTATTTTGTACTAAATTTAAAAAAAAACATACAGCACAAACTAATGTTATAAACTATTGTTAATTATAAATGTTTTTATTATGTTATGTTATTAATAATTTTTAAAAAGCTACGAAGTCTGCAGTAATTACCTACTATTGACGTTTTAAATTTGTTTGTAATGGTTCTTCAAAATGAAATATTTCATAAAACATTTATAAATTATTTAATAAATATAACTTTCATATTTTATAACCCTGAGAATAAAATATATTCTGTAACAGACTCCACTAAGAAAACAAAATCCACTCCATTGAAATGAAACCCGAAACGCATAACGTCGACTTTAAAAATGAAAACCGTTTTTTTCGAAAAATATCAAGAACACATTTTAGTAACATGTTTAGTTAGATACTAAACATTGTATTAAATTATAATTTTACTTAATGCTGACGATTTTCCGGCGTCAGCGACACCTTTAGACTTTAACAGTAAACTATCCTATTATTTTTAAATTGTACCGTATTATCGATTTTACGTCGAATTTATTACATTAACACTAATATCAAATGTACAGCTTATGATTTATAAAAATTTAAAGTTTATTCTGGAAGAATAAAGAAGAGTTATCAATTTATATCATCAAAAAATAGTTATGCATAATAAAATTTCTAAAAAATTTCTTTATTTGAATCTGTGTTCAAAAAGAGGGGTTCCTATTTGAAAAACAAAATATGTGCTCATTTACGGACTAAGGTATATAGGTTAGAGATAAAAAATTAAAAATGTTTTTAAAATAGACCTTAAACGATTCGATAATGATTAAAAAAAAAAAAACCAAATTCACTTAAAATCTTCCGAGATAATTGCTAGTTCATGATAAAAAAAAGATGGACATACTTCACACGTGGGTAGACCACTGTTGTAGGAACGGAGTTGGAAAGATAGAAAAGAAATTGAATGTATATCTACAACGATTAACCATTGCTAACGAAAAACAATTCTGAGCGGGGGTCGATTAGTAGTATTACATTGTCATTTTCTTGGATTTTCCAATTTACTATGAAAACAGCTGAAAAAATCAAAAAATGATCTCCTAAAATACCACCCCAGTCAGAGTTCCATTCAGAAAAAGTGCTATCGTTATAAATCGGAGTAAAATTTCTGGTAGAAAAGTTATTTAGAGAGAAAAAAAAAAGACCGTAATATTTTACTAATACATATATTTCGTACATTATCCCGTTTTTCCGTTTGGAAAAACTCCTGGGAAAATCAAAAAATTAACTTCCTAAAGTACCAGCCCGGGAGAATTCCCTTTCAGAAAGATGCAATACTTGATACTTCAGAGCAAAATTTCAGGTAGAATTTTTGTACACAGTATTTAAAAATTAAATTAACATCTTTGTAAGCCAATAAATTCTACGCTAGAATCTAAAAAATCACTCTGTATGTATGATGTATTAATAAAATGGCGGAAGGCTGTAGTATTGTGCTACAAGAAATAAAAAATGTACAAATATCGAACGGAACTAGAGTTATTTCAATCGTCGAGATTATCAATGAACTGACTGTATAGTCCCCCCATGGTGTTTTCATCACGGTTGTCATATAATGTTATTATGTTTGGCACTAAATCATATAGTAGAAAAATGTCAACAAACGGCCTCACTTGTTATCAGTTCTGCAGGAACGCGAAAAAAAATAGGTACCCTATTAATACGATTACTTCAGTTAGGTATAATGTCGCGTCCGGGCCTTTACGATCTATAAGAACTCGGGAATCGTGTTTTGTTCCCTGCAACGACTCGTCGACGGTATACACGTAAACTAAATATTGCCAATAAAGTAATAATTATCGCGCCTAGTTACTTACCCGAGGCCCGAAGTATTAAACGCGTGCACTGCTTTGGGGAGAGAAAAAAAAATTGTTCTGTAATCAATTGGCATTTGGCGCCAAAACAAGATCGACTCGGCCGATGTGACCGATTTTATCGAGTATACGCGGCAGCGTGGCGTGTTACGAAACGACGACAACGGCGAGATCGATATCCCGACGGTGCGACGGTGACATTATTTTCCGTTATTTCGCGATGAAATAGCAATTAGAAAAAAAAAAATCGTCGGAAAAACTGGCGACGCCGTGAAAAGCTAGAAGAAAATCCCCGAGAAGAACGGGTGGGAGGAGGGGGGAGGGAATGTCCGCGTTCTTACTACCGGCAGGCGAGCTGACGCGAAGCGACGCAAAATATTTCGAAACGGCGACGCGATAGTTACTAACATAAATAATATCACAATAATGATAATGATTGACAATAATGTTATTGCGTTATTAATAATACTTCGAAATGTTACGCCGGATTAGCCTATACAGCTAATAATTACCTATATTATATTATTACTATTATCATTATTATGCAACGGTACGAGCCTGACGATAACGCTCAATAGGTAACTAAAATACAACGGTGCATAAATAAATAAATAAATAATTAATATATATATATATATATACGTACCTAATGTTAATAAATGTATTATTATTTTATTGATAATAATAATACGTTATTGTAAAACGAACGGGGGTAGAAAAAACCAGCGATATAATAACGACTAACGAACTTGGAAAAAAAACAAAAACAAACGACGAGCAAAAATGGGTAAGGTACCGAGAGTAATCGACATCGACGAAAAAACGGAAAAACTAATAAACATTAATTCGGTATGAAAAAAAAAAAAACGCGCAACGAACGAAAACAAAAACAATGCGGGTTTTTAATGCGAGTACGTATGTTTTTATACCACCTACTTGCGATAGAGTACAACTACTACAACAACGCTGATATAAAATTTATGATATTATTACGAACGTGTGTGTGCGCGTGTGTCCGTGTATCCCTGCGCACGAGTGTGCGTGTGTGCGTGTTTGTGTGTTTGTGTGTGTGTATGTGTGTGTGTGTGTGTGTGCGTGTGCGTGTAGTCGGTCTCGGGTGCGGCGGCGGCGGCGGCGGCGGTGCGTGTGCGCGCGCGCCCGGGTGGTTGTGCGTGTGCGTGTGCGACGTACGCTACACTCGACACACACCGACGGCGGTCTGGACGCGCCGCGCCGCGCCGGGTCGAAACGCGCGCCGCCGCGATGCCTTCGCCGTCCGCCCGGCGTGCACACACACCGGGGCAACGATTCCGACACCGCTAAACGACGACGACACCGCCGCCACACCGGAGTTATTCAATGGTAGAGGCCACCGCCGCCGGTAGACGACGGCCGCGGCGACGGCGCCCGTTAGGCGGCCACGGTGGCGCGTTTCGAGTATATTATTATTATTATTATTATTATTGCCGCGCGAATGTAAACACCACCGCGTGTCGGCGCTGCCTCCGTGTCGCGGTCGCGGTCGTCGTTTCCGACGGGAGGCCTATATCATAATGTTTTCAACGGGGGAAGGGGGACAAGAGAAAGGAAATACATAATCGTCGGAACGTATTAATGTTTTCGCGGAAAAGGTTTGAAAAAAACATTATTGGAATTTTTATTTCCGAAACGCGTATAATTATGGGCGTCAGAACTGCTGACAGTGCTGACGGAAATTTATCCGATTCCGAGCGCGTACCGAGGAATGTATTTCGGTTTGTCGTGATTTGTGCGTGTTCGTGTGTGTGTGTGTGTGTGTGTGCCTGTGTCTGTGCGCGCGCGCGGTTTTTTTTTGTCAACAACTTTTCCACTAGGATACCTTGCTCCGGTCATAATCGATAATTTCTGTTATTTTCCATTTTATTTTCGTTGTGGTAATTCAGTGAAAAACAACGGTAGAGATCTGACATTTTACCCAAATACCTATATTAGTTAGGGCCCTTTCTAAACGTGGTAAATTGTTCATTTTGTTTGGGCAATTTTTGACGTATTAATTTGATAGGATTAGAATTTGATTAGAATTTCTGGTTCACTAAAAATGTTTAAAAATTCGATTTATCCAAAACCGCCGGCAGGATTTAAACCAACGAAAGAAAAACCGACGCCGTCAAACATGAATCACGATCAGAAACCGTTTGATAATAATAATAATAATAATAATAAGTATAATAACGAGTCAACTATATTAAACTATAATACGGTTTCAATGGCCACCGGATATCGTAAAGAAAAAAAAAAAAAAAGGGAAACAAATGAAATTCTAGCACGACGGGCGGTCCGTACCTATAGTAACCTAACCTAACCTCGGGGAGAAAAGGTGAAATCTAGTGTGCCGGAAACGAAAATAATGTTGTTTTCCTCCCTGTGCAGCGCGTTCACAAAACAGACAATGCATTATAGACATCTAATAAATACCGAATAATAATACGCGTCGGCGCCCGGTGAAGATCACAGCAAGCGCGCACGCGCACCCACGGCAGACGTGTGGCGACTCAACGTCGTTTGGCATACGCCCGCAAAGGACCGAAACGGTTTTTTCGACCAGTACGCCGGTTTTACACATTCGCGGGCCGACACCGTTTCACCTTTCGGTGCGTACAGTCCGTGCGCGGTTGTCGGGACGACCGTTTACGTAGGCTGAAAGGAAACGTGCAATTTTGACCGGCCCAAAGCGTTCCGCCGAACGCTAAATGGGTTAGCGACGGCGGCGTTGCCGACTTTAGGTATTGCCAATCGTATTTAATTATCGGTTCCCGCGGCCCGCACACGTTTTCACGTAAAACTCGTCCCGCCCAGTGACGTATTTAAGGGGAGAGATCGGGGATACATATATCCTCCCCCAATGACATTTTTTTTTTAATAATTTTAACGATAACATTTCAACGTTAATGTTAATGCAGATTGAATTGTATAATACCTACTTACAAAAAGTATACAAGTTTTTAAAATTTGTTTTTTGTCGTTTTATCCTAGATACCTAGACGTACACATTATACAATCTATACGCAAAAACAGTTCAATACATATCTCCCTTGGAAAAATCCTAAATACGCCATTGCGTTCGTCAATTTGCTAATTATCACCTTCGACTGAGATGTCTACAGTATTATTAATTCCACACACACCACTAAAATAATATCTCTAACTCTTTCCGACTTAACTAAACAAAAATATTGGTTTCGCGTTTAAACAGAACATTTAAAATAAACCGTAAGTAATGCACTACAGATACGAACACAGGCTGACGGTACAGAAACCGCGGGCGGATATCCGATATCATTCATTTTAAAATTTATATTATCCATTTTACATGTAATTGGTGTTGCAAAACGTGTCGTTTTATTTAATACGAGTACAATAATACGATAGTTCAATTATATTTTCAGTCTAATTTATAATTAGCTATTTTCGCTGTCCGTCCCAGGTTTTTTTTGATGAAATTATGGCAACCCTGGCCGATAATATCGTACACCTAACTATATAATAGGATTTATACTGCAGTTGTAATTGGTAGATAATTATTTTGAACCGATGTGCCGAAAACAAATGACGGTTATAAAATGGGATTTTCTGTGAAATTTGACGTCGCATCGCGGCAAGTAAAAATTATGCAGCGCGCGCAATCGTATACGCCTGTAGAATGGCACCGCCGATAAATACGGTACGGCGTTCAGTCTGATGTTATAACCGACCTCCAAAACATCCAAGTTCTGTGTACACACTCGTGTTGCGTGCTGCAGCCGGTGCTCCCGCCCCCACGAGTACGAATTTCTTTGAAACGATAACGGCATACAAGTACGTGTAAAACGTTCTATACGCGGTCCACCCCCATCGCCCCCTCTCCCTAACCCCCTCCCCCGAGTAAACAGTCCATTGTCGTTGTCGTTGTCGTCGTCGTCGTCGTCGTCGTCGTCAGCGGCGTAAACGCGGGCCGTACGTATAATCCCTCAGGGAGGGGGAGGCGATCGCGGCCTAGCGCTTTAAAAATTAATATTATACAAAATACCGCGGCGACGAATTGTGTTTAGATTTCGGAGGGAAAAAACCCGTAACAATGTTTACGGACCTACGGAAAAACCGTCCGAACATTGAATTCGCCCGCGGGATACACGTAATTACGATTCGCGTTATTGTTACCGTAGACGACCGGGACGACGACGTTCAAAATTTCGCGCGAACACCCGCGTGGAGCGCGGTACACGGTCGCGACGAGTAGCTATACACCTACCTACGGACGTAAGTTTCACAGAAGATAATATTTCGCGTACGAAAAACACGCACTGGAAAACGGGATGCGCGTGTCGGACGTCTAGAAAACAAAATTGCGTACCTGTTAATGTTATCGTGACGGCTGCAGTGTTCGAGATTATTCCTGCGCGGCGGCACAATGTTTAAACGCTTTGCGGCGCCTCGTTCGCGAATCGCGTATATTCCCGGCGTTTGGAACGGAAATAGAGAAAAAAAAAAAAAACCGAGGTTTTAAATCTATAAATCGAAATATTACGTTTACCGTCGTGTCGTCATGCCGGCGTCCCGAGTGTCGAACGAGCAGACGGCGACGAATCCGTTCGATTTACGTACAGTAAATACCAATAATGTAGTCGATAGTTTTCTCGCCCGACCGCTTTAGATATCTCACTTGATGGGCGATCGTATTGTATCGTACGGCGAATAGCAGTGTAGCAGATCGGTTTGTAAATCGAATTTTGACCGGTAAATCGATTATACCGCGGATGTTTACAATCGATAGTCGAAAGAAAAAAACATGACTATCGTACGCGCAACAATCGCGATCGCTGGGCGGACCGTGCCGACGGCGTTCAAAATTCTGGATCCAAAATGTCGCGCGTATACGACGGCGGCCGCGGCCCGGTACGATCGCGACGAGTACATACCCCGGCCGACATGTAATCTGTACAGAACATTTCGTTTTAACGAAAAACGGAACAAAACGTGTGGAAAGCAAAACAAAAAAAAAAAACTTCGTATAACATAGCGATGGCGGTGGCGGCCCTGTAGCGTTCGAGAATATTACTGCGCGCGACGATGGCCGCGGCACAATGTTTACGCGCGTCGTTCGCGTATACCTATTTCCGGACGTGTACAGTGCTTAGAACAGAAATTAAAAAAAAAAAAATCTCCGTTGATAATAACGGGTAGTTAAAATTTATCGACTGCGGCATATTAAATCGCGCGAGATTCCGTGTCGTTATCCCGGCCCGGGTGTCGAACGAGGAGACGGCGGCGGATCTATTCGAGTTGTGTTGTAAGTCAAATTCAGTTTCCTAGCTCACCTCGTTAAATATCGCGCTTGAATCCCGAACGTATGATTATAATAATTTATGTAACATACAGATCCGCTTTTAAATCGAATTTCACGTACCTCTGTGTGTGTGTGTGTGTGTGTATATGTGTGTGTGTGTGTGTGTGTGTGTACGCAAGACGAGATAAATAGGTACACGGAACCGAGAATATATTTCGAAATAGTTACATCGTCGAGTTAAAGAAAAATAAACAAAAAAAATAGTAAAATCGTACTGCGGATATAATAATATAGCATGTGTAAGGTGTTAGATTATTTTGAAATAAAATACGTACCTTACAAACAGTGACGACCCGCACTGGTGCACAGCAGATTGGAATAATTCTCTCCGACTTCCGATGTGAGTCTGATTGTCGAATTCAAATAACACCACGCTTCGGGAGAGCAGAAAAAAAAAAAGATAAATATTCGTAACTGCGTATCACGATAAAATAATATGCTATGTTACCTCCTCAGAACGCGTTTATCAACCTCCTGACGATTTTTTTTTTTTTTTGTTGAACGGAACGCTTTGGTGTATTCGAACAGTGCGAAAGATTTCAGTAGTTTGGTAATATTGTTTTTCCATTGAAGGCAGATCGCCGAGCAGTGGGGAGACTTTGCCCCCACGCCGTCCACCAATCCGGTACACGAAATATTATTATCGAGGTAGGTATTAGGTACGTACTCGATCACAAAATACAAACGTCCTATTTCTGTTGTTTATCAATGAAAATATTGTTCGTAGTTTATCCAAGTTCCGTTTGGTTTAAATTGTATATATATATGATACAATGAAAGACGTAAATGCGGGAAAAGACATTATTTCCCAGGATATTTTATCATTTCCTTAAAAACTAGTAAATGTTATAATTCTAGTTATTCCCCGGTATTTTACATCAATTGCCAGTTAAGTTGGTGTAAAAACAGCTAACATACAAAAAGGAGTTATACAACGCTGCCCACTGTGGCACTGTCTCCCTTTATTCAATAACTACGTTAAGCAGGCCCTAGAAGAAATATAACTAAAACTAGAAGAGAGGAATATAGGAGAAGTGTTAACAGGCTTTTCTCAAGAGTTTTCCCAGCGAATGTGAAAAACCAGGAAAAACGAGATAATCGGTACACTAAACAAATATTATAAAAGATAGTATATAATGTCTATTTATTTTACCATAATATTATATATTGTTGACAAAGCATCAATATCAACTGAACTCTACTCAGAATTGTTTTTTCATTAACAATGGTTATACGTTGCTAACAGATATATATTAAATTACCTATAACAGTGGCTACCGTCCCCATTATCATAGGACGTCTTTTTAGTTTTGTATTCAACAAAATAATAAAACAATTACTAACACTAATTAATTAATTAAAATGGTTTATATATATATATATATATATATATACACAAAACAATACTATACAACTAAAATATATAATATACTTTTAAATTTTTATGTAAGCATTTTTAAATCACAAATTACTAATTCTAAAACAAAAATCTAAATTCTTAAAATTGTAGGTACAACATAATAACAAATAATATGAAATTAACTTTGCTAAAAGTTTTAAAATATTAAAGTTAGATAAGCATTTAAAAAAAAAAAAATTATTATTAACGGACAATGACTTTTTCATAGCAAATTATAGTATATTATATACAAATTTTCTTCAAATTTAATCACGTTAAGTATAAATAACAATTGCGATTATAATACTATATTTTTTTACTGAATTATAATCAACCGAAAATTTAAGTAAATTGACAAAGAAAACAGAAAAGTACTTTTAAGTTCCCTGAAATGATACAGTTTAAAGTACTCTAAAAAATTTAATTAAAACATAAAAATCGGTTAAGTTGATTTATAATATTTGGTAAATTTAATAAATAATTTGAATAATATTTAGAATTATCTGTAAATATATTTTTAAAATATTTGAATGTTTATTTGTAATAAAATGACTTTTTTGAAAAAACTACTTATTACAAACAAAATAATTAAATATGTTGGTAAAATTTTTTTTTTTTAGTATTTATTACAAATTTTTTTCAAATTCCAGAATTCATAGCTGAATGTTGAGTGCTGACTCCTTCAATACAAATTTATTCTGGGAAAACTAAATAAGGTATGCAAATTCTGAAAATTACATAGTAAATTACTTGCAAAAAATCATGCGAAAATCTGAAGTATGTAACTTGAAGAAAACTTCACACACAACCGAAATTCTAATTTTTTTAAAAAATCGAAAAGAAGCTGAATCCGATATTTTAGTTTTTTAAGGATCGGTATCAAAATTATAAATGCTTTTTTTTACTAGAAGTCGAACCGGAAGCACAACCACAATATTCATCAAGGTTTCAGTCCTTGAAGAGATTCTTGGAGAGATCATTTATTGTAAACAAATCTGCGGATTGATTGTTCAAAAAACAAAAAAAAAATTAAATAAAAAAGCTATTATAAATCTATAATCTTACCTTAACCTTAACCAACAAACTTGGTAAATGACGTCATTTTCTTTATTGTACGCAATTCTTTACAACATTTATCTATATAATAATTGAATCATTTTAGTAAATGATTTCATTGACCGGAAAATAATATCATTTACCAATTTACGTCTTTCACCGTAACAAATATAATATGTATATTGTATACATAACTTAATGTGAGTCGTATTAATGTCTATACGGTACGTGAACAAAGCATAGTATACAAAAGAGTATTAGTATATTACTAATTTCTTATATCATTTAGTTTCAGTGCAAATTAAAACTTAAAATGGAGCAAATGAATAATTGGTATAAGGTGTGTTTCCTCTAATACTTATGCGTGTAGAGCGTTTAAGTTATTATTCGTGTAGAAATAAAACAGTTATAATTATAATAAATAATGACGACGGTTTTAGAATATAATATTAAATATAACAGCGGTTCTCAAACTTTTTTTTCGTGGAGCCCTTATGTTCCTCAAAAAATTTACGGAGCCCCAAAATTCAGGAATGTCTATTGGAAACAACAATAATTCATAAAAAAAAAAATGATGTGATAATAATATTATATTTTTTTTTTTGTATAATAATAATAATAATAATATTTATTGGCCATTTGTAGGAAGCATTTAATTACAATTACAATAAAATAAAATATACATGTATAAATGTATAAATTGTAAATGATTTGTTTTTTAATTTTTTTTTCTTTAGATACGAATATATACAAATTATTCAAAATAGAAAAAAAAAATATATAATTTCAGTAAATTTTAAATTTAAATATTTAATGGTTTTAATGTGATCAACGACCTTAACTTTTTTCATTAACCAGTATTTTAATGTTTAGCTTGATACATGACAGTTGGATGCACATGTCTGTTTTTAGCATCTAATTTATTGCGATATCTTGTTTTCGTTGATGCATATGATAAAAATTCGATTTCACGCAAATATGTTGCTACAAAAGGGAGAAGTGCTATAGTACAGCTTTTTTTAACCAGGAATTGATATTCGTTAGTATTACTGCTATACTACACCAAAAATCTGTTAATGATATTTTTTCAAATAAAGTTTTTAACGATGAAACGATAGTCATTTCAAGAAAGTCTTCATACTTCGTTATAGATAAGTTTTCGGGCTTATCGTTGATTAAAAATAGATTTTTTACTCAATTATAATGTTGGGTAAATTCCACTTCTTTACTATCTGGAAAATAGCTTTCTAATGACAACAGTATTTTAATTATCTCTAATTAATTCTTCAATATTACCATCAATCGATTCTAAATATTTTTTTAACAAATCAGAACTATCAATTATATATTGAGAAAAACACACAACATAAAATGTATTTATTTTTTTTTAAAGTTTGGATTTTGTCATTTAACTTTAAAACAGTGGTCATTTCACCTTGTATTGATAAATTTGCTTTATTTAATTTTGTGAAAATATCAGCCAAGTAACTAAGTCGAAATAACCAAATTTGATCAGTAAATCTGAGTCAAATATTATTGAATATAAAAATAAAAATGTAAATATAGTATAAAAATATAAAATTAAAAACATTTAAGTATAAAAACATTAAATAAATAAATGAATAAATACATCGCCTGGAGTATTATGATAAGTATATTATACGACCGGTTTCGAATTAAAAATTCATCATCACATATATCACAGTCAAAATGTAAAATGCGATTAAATATAAAAAATTAAATGAAGGAATACATAGAAAAAAAAATTACACAAATTGATCGTTTTACATAGAGAAATTATTTAAAATGAGTTATTATTAAACATGGATATGTTAAAAAATATAAATTATTCAGTTATTATTTATTATCTAAAATGTATTGATATAAGATATTATTTTTAAAATCAGTTTGGACATTTAAAATATTATTAAAATTATTTTTCTTTAGTTCATTGTATATATATATATATATAATTCATCTAAAACTGAATTAATGTAAATGTTATTTTGGGTATTAAATATCTTTAAATTTGTATTAATAACAAAGTTTATATTATGGTTATTTTCTAAAACATATTTGGCGAAATTTGAATTAGGAGCGGTCATTTTTAATTTTATTCTAGAAATGTGTTCTGTATATCTTATTTCAAAATTTCTATTTGTCTTACCTATATAGAATTTATTTCAGTAACATTTAAGTTTATATATACCAGTATTTTCATAAGAAAGGGGAATTTTTGTGAAATATTTAGTTTTATTATTTATATGTTTGATTAAATTATTATTAGTCTTAAAAGTGATTTTTACATTATTTATATGATTGTTCAGAATTTTAGCCAATTTGTTAGACATATTATTTTAATATTTCATACTACAATAGTTGACAACATTATTTGATGAGTTGTTTATTATTTTTTGATAATATGATTAAGATGGGTTAGTTATGTGTGATCCTTTAAGTGTTCTTTTATCTGAAATGTACATTCAAAATTATGAAACCAATTATATTATTAACAATAAAATATACAGTCCATTTATAAAAGTATATTATAGATATGTTGATGACACTTTCATTTTATTTAGAGATTCAAATAGACAAGCAGCAAATTTAGTTAACTATTTAAACAAAATAAATAAAAACATTTAATTAACACTCAAAACATAAATAAATAATAAATTAAACTTCTTACAATTTCCATGATAAACAATAAATTTGATTTTAGTATTTACAGAATACCTACACAAACTGATGCTATAATACCACATGGTTCTAATCACCCTTATTCTCAAAAATATAATTATTTAATTTAATATTTTATAGGATTGAATGTATTCTATTAAATAATTATAATTATCAACACGAGTTTATTATTATTATATATTAAAAACATATAAAAAGTAAAGCAGATGCTAGGAATGAAATAGATTAAGACAGGCATTTTATAAAATCAAATACTAACAAAAGGACTTTACTATTATGATTTACAGACAATCTTACTAACATCTTCTGGTGAAGTGTCCAGTTTTTATTATAAAAGAAAGCTGGCCGCTTACAATTTTATAATTTTTGATTCCAATAACAATAAAAGTCACTGTTTTGTATGGTACAAGAGTATTAGGAATAGGGGAGCTATAGAAATTAGAAGTTGCATACTAATAAATTTGTTGACAATTTTGTACCAAATGAAAGAACTGAGCTTTTATTTTATTCTGATAACTGTAATGGACAGAATACAAATAGATAAATGTATACTCTTTATATGTATATTGTTATGTAAATTTATACCATTTCAGAAATAACACAATCGTTTTTAACTACTAGACATACCCAAATAACTGTTTACTCCATGCATGGTCGAATAGAAAATCAAAAAAAACGTGCATTAAAAAGTGGACTAGTGTATATCCCTGCACAATGGGTTTCAATAATTAAAGTTGCTTAGAAAAACGAGACACTGTATTGTACTACTAAAATGGACACAAACAGTTTTATTGATCTTACAAGTTTATGCAATGAGATGGGCACAAATTATTCAATTAATAAAAATGGTGAAACAATTTTAATAGGAGACATTGTTGTTATATATTTTAAAAAATAAATACCTTTCATTTTATACTAAAAAATAAACTTCTCAGAAAATGAATATAAAAATATAAATATAAGAAGTAACCCCAAAAGAAAACAATCTTATTCAAACAAAGAAGATATTTCCCTAAAATTTGCTTATAAAAGACCTCCTCTCATAATACAATTCAAACCTAATTCCTAAACAGTATTACTATTTCTATAAGCAATTATTGACAGACAATGCTTCAACTTTAAAGCCTTTCCAAAAATCTCATATGGATAAGATAAGTGCAAAAAAACAAAAAAATAAGACCATAAGTCAAACATCAGAACAAAATAAAAATATTAAGCAAAAAACTGCTAAAAAGAAATTGTTTAAATAGGCTGTGTCTATCAATTAGTGTATAAAATAAAAATTATTTTGCAAGTACTTAAGTTTAATTATTATTTATGTAATCAAATTTATTTTGTAAAAATTGAATGTAATGTATACATTAATACAGTAATGCAAATATAACTATAATTTTTTAATATTACTATTATTATTATTTTAAGCAGAATTTGTGATAAATATTCAAATTGTACTAATCATTATAAGTATTAATGGGCTGAGTGAAAGCATAATGATTTATTTTAAATTTAAATTTTATTTGTTGTTGACTAATTCTATTGTAGAAATGTAAAATTTTAACATTTTAATTTTATGAATATAGATTCTCATTAATTTATAATTAAATTTGTGATAATTAATGTTAAATCTATATTGAAAATTTTAAAATTATTATTATTTTATTAATTTTATATATTTTTTTTACATTTTTTAATTCATTAACATTGTTCTACTTGTATCTACAACAATTTGTCATTGAAAAATAAAAATTTTGAATTTTTATTAATTAATTAGTTATAAATAACTATTTATAAATAACAATGTAAACCATTTTTAAAATTAAATGTTCATTATTTTTTGTGTTATGAGTATTTAACAATTTGAAAAATCTTGAAACTCTACTATCTTAGAATTAAGTTTTTTGAGTTGGAACACTAGTGTTCTGATGGTACAATATGTACAATAAAAAAAAGAAAAATAATTTTAATAATATTTTAAATGTCCAAACCGATTTTAAAAATAATATCTTATATCAATACATTTTAGATAATTAATTACAACCAAATAATTTATGTTTCTTAACAAATCCATATCTAATAATAACCCATTTTAAATAATCTCTCATATTAAAATAAATTATTTCTATGAAAAACAATCAATTTGTATAATTTTTTATTTCTGTGTATTCCTTCATTTAATTTTTTATATTCAATCATGTTTTACATTTTGACTGTAATATACCTGATGATAAATGTTTAATTCGAAACCGGTCATGTATAACACTCATTATAATACTCCAGGCGACACATTTATTCATTTATTTATTTATTATTTTTTATATACATTTTTTATTTATATATTTTTTTTTACAAAAATTAACGTATCAAATTAAAGATACTGACATTTACTTTATTTTTTGATATCTAATTTAATCATATTTGTACCTTAAAAAAAACCAAATTTTCTTATCTAAATATAAAACTTAAAAATATAAAAAATCCCTCTGTAGAAAACATAATTAATGTATAATAATAATTATAATTATTTAATAAAAATTTTAAATCGTAAAAGCAAAAAATAAGAGTATTTATAGGAGAAAAGTAATTGTTCGCAGAATCTAAAATTTAAAAAAAAAATTGCACACACAACTCGACCTATAATAAAATTTCCGTTCGGAATTCGGAAACACTGGTATAACTAACAACCAGTTGCGGATTTTCAATATTTTTCTTGGAGGAGTCCTAAAAAATCATATGTATTTTAAAGGTATACATTAAGTAGATAACTGTTTTTAGATTCAGAGTGGAACGAAGAAACGTATGGTTTTACAAAGATATGTATTTTATTTTATTTTTTGTTGAAAAAATGTTTCTGTTTTACCAGAGATCTAGCTCAGGTTTTTAAGTGTAGCACCTTTTCCATATGGAATTCCGACTGGGAAGGTCATTTTTCGATTTTTTTAGAAGTTTTCTCAACAAATGTAAAAAACCGAAAAAACGGAGGAAAAATGAGAAAAACGTAAAAAAAAACGGGAAAATCGGTACATTAAACAAATATTATCAAAAGAAATATATAATACCTATTTAATTATTTACCATACCATAATATGAGATATATATTGTTGACAAAGCATCACTATTAACTGAACTAAAATATAAAAATAAAATATTTTAACAAAATAACTTTACAAAAAAAATAAATTAAATAAAAATGAAAATACAAATTATAGTTATATTGGTATACATGTTAATGAAAACATATTTTGCATAATGGTCACCAACTACATTTTTTGGTAAATCCTTTAATAAAAAAAATCTGGTTTACTTAATAATTATTAACTTACCTTTTTTATAATTAGCACCATAACCATTTTAATTCATTAGAGTTGATCAGTATACATGACTGGACTAAACTAAATTTGTATGAAATTTGGTTCATTTTTTTTTCAATTTATTTACTTTTTTTTTTCTTGGTCTATTCTTTTTCAATTTTGGAGATTCACGTAAGTATTGCTAGAGCCAATTAAATTTATGAAAAAATGTTGCATCTACCCCATTCTTTAATCTTTGATTTATCGTTTTCCATTTTTCTTTTAATATTTAATTAGTTTTAATATTGTATTTACATCAAAATACTTTTCTTATCTTACTGTATACTTTCCTTTGATTTTTGTGCTAGAATTATATTTTCTTGTTCTTATTTTTTTTCTTAATATTTTTTTTCTTATTTTTCTATAAGATAATTTGCTGAATATGAAAACTCTCTTTCAAAATCAGCATTGGGAGTATTAATAAAGCAGCTTTAATAACTTTATTAAACAATGGATACTTATGGCTACCATTTTCAGATTTTAGAGTTATAATTAAATTCCAATACACGTCTATTCTTTAACTATTGTGTTCACTATTTAGTTCACCTTTTAACTAAAATAATTTCCATTCATTAGTGAGTCTGTCTACATCAATGTCATTTTTAAATGGTAGAGCTTTAGTAATATTTAGCAAATCACTAGTACTTCTCTTTGATAATTTTTCAGATGGCTTTAAAGAAATTCTTGAATATACTATGATTGTCATTTAATGGAGCCTTCTGAATTATATGTTTACAACTTGCAAGTATGTATATGGCCTTGAGACTTAAACGATCTTCATCTTTCAATGGTGATTTTGTTTTGAAGATACATAACAAATCTATTTCAGATAATGATAAAATGTTATCTTAATTTAATATGTTAATTTTCAGAGATGTTTGTGAAATTAATATTCGTGGTTTACAAATTCTACTGAGATAAATGTTAAAACTTAAAAGTCATGTTATAATTTCATCATACATTTTGTGTATTAATGGTTCAGTTTTTTGTATACCAGTTAAGCTCATGAGTGAAAATTTGTCGAAATACTCTTCAAATCTTTAAGAGTACCGAAGCGTAGTTTAATGAGACGCGTGTATATATATTGTATGAATTTTTAACCTCAAATATGTCTGGTCTAACCAGTAATGTTCTTTAAAAATGCGTTAAAAATTATCAACGGAAGCCTTATCACAGAAGATAGCAGAGCAATAAAAGAAGTTAAGAGGAGAATAGCATTAGCAAAGCAAGCATTTGAAAAGAAGAGTTCTCTTTTGACGTACAATAATTTAAGCATTAAAACTAGGAACTAAGAGCTTCATCAAATCTTATATCTGATGTATTTTGTTGTGGATGCGTAACGTGGACCACAAAGAAGTATGAAAAAGAAAGGATAGAAGCTATGGAAATGTGAATTTGAAGAAATACAACTAGGAAAAGCTGAACAAAGAGGAAAAGGAACAACGCCATCTTGCAGGAAATAGGTGAAAAAAGAAGCATTATTATAACTATTATGAAAAGGAAAATGAAACTAATCGGACATCTTATAAGACACAACGATTTTGTCACAAACATCTTGCTGGGGAACATTATAGGTAAAACACCAAGAGGAAGACCCAGAAGTCGCGAGCCGTTTTAAATTCTATTAATACACGTGAAAACCGATAATATCTAGGGAATAATTTAACCACGTTACGCGATAATACCGGTTTTCACACGGATTAGTAGAATTTAAAACGTCTGTTACTTAGAAACTATTCATCAGAAATGAATGTGTGATATGTAATATTTTCAGAAAAATAAACTCTACAGATTGGCTGTCTTAAAACTGTTTGAAAATAATAAAATAAAGTTATTTTTTTTATTATTTTACAAAAAAAAGAAATTTAATTCAAATATAAATGTTTGTAATCTTCATCTCTGTGAGTAATATAAAAAAAACAGAATTTGATTATTATCTCTGGAGATATTCAAGGGGTATATCTTCGTTGGACAGCCTGTATATTATATATTACATAATATCACTATAATAATTACGTCATCGTGGAGTTTCAAGGACATACGTCAATTGGTCGTAAACAATTAATCGCAAATAATTGATCGCAAGACAATTGATCGCAATGGAAATTTACCGCACGACAATTGATCGCAATTTAAAAAAGGTAATTAGGATAAATAATTTGTGGTCAATTTATTGTACGACAATTGATCGCAATGGAAATTTACTGCACGACAATATTGATCGCAAATTAATGTAATTTATCCCAGAATAAAAAACATTTTCCTTCCAATTTTAACAGCATTAGGACTGTCTGTAACGTATTAACTAATTATAGGTATAGTTAAAAATGTTTTTCTTTTTCGTATTAGACTATAATTACCATCCCTAGATTTTGAGCTAAATAAAATAAATTTTACCATAATATATCATTGAGATAGATGGTGTATACTGTATATTTAGTACTATTTTTCACTATAATAAAAAAATATTAAATTTTTATAATTATTTTCTTCATATCAAAATACCAATTTCTTTTTAAATCAAATTATGTCTGGTTATTGATAATAATTAAT